CCGCGAAGGCCATGGCCGAGGGAAGGCTGCACGTGGAGGCAAGCTGTGTCAAGGAGCTGTGTGTGTAATCCCCTCCCGATTTCATGCAACACCCCACCCCCCATTAAAAACACACAGATTGGGGCGGATCATCCCTGCCTTGCGGGGGGAATGGATTAGGCATGCTCGGTGAGTCTCGAATCCTTGGAAACCGCAGTCTCGCAAAGCCGTGGAGAGCAGTCTCTACTTGGAGGTTCATGCGTAGTTATACGTAGGGTTATAAGTGGGGTAACTATACTTCTATCCCATATCAGGGGGCTTATAACCCCACTTATAACTACCCCTCAACCCGCAACCCCCTAAACCCTAAACCCTACAGAGCCCTCAAGGGAACCCTAAACCCATATAACCCTTCTTACAACTACCCATGAACCTCCAAGTAGGATCCCTTGGTACAAGAATTTCGGAGCCCAGGAAGCTCCCAGAGTCTTATTCATAAGTATAGTATAATGGGCTCTTAGGGTTAGGGTTTAGGGTTTAGGGTTTAGGCTTTAGGGGTGGGTGGTTGTCAAAATTATGGTCCTTTTTTGGGTCCCTATTACAATACGGCACCTTATTTTTTGGGGGGCCATAATTTCGACAACTACCCAAATATGGCATCATGGGCCCCAAAACCCTGAGTCCTAGAGAATACTGTTCTCGGGGTTCCTTATCATAGTTATGGTATGATGGGCCCCAAAATCCTATTCTAATTGCTAAGGGCCTCTATATGAAAATGCAAGAGCCGAGCCCTGTTCCGCGTCACCCTGGCGAGGTGGTGAATGGCACGGACACAGGAGGCCCAGAAGCATTGAAAGCCGTGCGCGCTCTTCGCCTGGTATTTCGCCGCCTTTACCGCGGAACTCGCGGCCTTTGCTGTGGCGAGCGCTACCTTGCACCCCATCATCACCATGCCGGGATACCTCCTCGGTGCAGTGGCGAACGGGGCAGCGACGTGGTGGTCTGGATCAATGGATTTTTTGGATACGGTAGCATTATCTTGCGTCATGGTTGCCTTTGCTATGGCAGGAGACCAGGCGAAGAGCCTCTTAAAGAACAAAGCAACGAAGACCGAAGCTAGTGGACCTGGCTTTATTCCAGCGCTCGTTATTCTCATCCGCTTCATCACCTGGGCGGCCCTCTGCTTCCTCGATCTTCCGCAGGGCCTTCTTCCGCTGGGCTCGCTGGGGCGCCCCATGGGTTTGCCGGTGCTCCGCGAAAAATTCCTGGAGCCGGCTGTCGCTTGCCGGGAGGCCTTGGCGTGTTTCACGTCCCAGTTCTGGATATCCGTCGAACCGGAGGCCAATGCGACCTCCATATCTCTGACCGAAGAGGTGGGGTTTGGCGACTGCACCTGGCCGACAACCGGCGGGTTGTCGGCCAGATGCAGTCGCCAAACCCCACAACTTCGGTAACCGGCGAGCTGAGCAGTGCATCCACCATCTTCAACGCCTGCTTGTTGTTCTTCGCCGTGGTTCTTGTTCCTCTGCACATGTGCATCGTGGTTGGGATGTTGCTTTTCAATCCAATTTACGCCTGTGGAGCCGACAACCTCAGCCTCAAGGAGGAGGTCGAGGCGAAGCAGCGCGAAATCGATGACTTCGCCAGGCGGAACGAGCAAGCTGCAGGGCAGCCTGCAAAGCTGGGTTTTCTAGCAGACCAGGCAACGTGCACATGTCTGTGTGACGTGTCGCCACATCGATGCAGGACTACTTAAAGCGACCCCGAGACGAAAAGACCAATGCTACCCTAGGAGCTTCAATAATTGCCCATACTATTTTGGGGGTTCCTCATAATAAGTAGAGTATAATGGGACCCAAAACCCTATTCTGATTATAAAGGCCCCTATATTGAGCTTTTACAACTCTTCTGCCAACCTCGCATTAGAAGACCGATAGAGAGCTTCCGCGCAAGCGCACATGCTCCAGGTGCAATACTTTGTCTGCTTCATCCGCCCTAATTCCAACACTTGACTGCAAACAATGATCCTGTACTAGTGAGGCCTTTGCAAATCTCGTGCAGAAGCCGAGAGCTCGGGGTTTCATAATTCGGAGATGTAATCTCCGGTCTGCAGATCTTAGGCATTTTAAGTATCTTCTGGGATTTTCGGGAAATGCAGATTTGCAGGTTCTCCGCGATTTCTTTGAGGGTCCATCTCGACATCATGTCTCGCTGCCAGTATTCGAGTAGCGAGTAGCCGCTCTGCTGTGGATCTCATGATATTGACATGTGGGGCGTAGCCAAGCCCGAAGCAAGCTTTCCTAGGCAGAATATGTTAAATTCCGCAAGCGAGCACTACATAGTGAAGACTTCTAATGCTTCCATTCCCTTCTAAAGTGTTTAAGAAGGAAGGACCCCAGCTTGAAAGCACTCCTGAACGAAACCTGTCAGTTGAAACAGTTTACATGTGGGAGTTTCCGAAAGTTAGGAGGACCTTAGTTTGGGGTCTCTATAATGAGGATCCTACTATTGAGGGTGCTAATTTAGGGGCCCGTGTTTTCGGAAACTCCCATGTTTCTTACAGCCCGACAGCACGCGCACCTACTGCGCCCCTGGCCCCTGGCGAAGCTTGCGTTTCAGGGCATAAGGTGCCCCTCAACCAGATGGGTTCCTGAGTTCTGCGTAGCAGCACCGGCCTCCATTTATTGGAAGACCTGCTGGGTGGGGACATGTTCGCTTCTTTTGGGTTTCGGCGGTAATCTGATGGGATGGCGTTTACAAGGATTCAAGCTTCAAGTTCCTAAGCCCCCAACCCCGATCTCTCCCGATCTCTCCCCTTCGGCAACATTGAACCGTGAGCCCCAAGCCCCAGACTCCAAACCCGAATCCCCTGAACCCCAAACGCCGAACCTAAAGCCCGAAACCCACCACCTACGACCCTAAAGCCCTACACAGACTGCCCCGAAGCAGGCACCTGCCAAGGGCTCCAGACAGGGCGCCGCCGTGGTCCGTGAGGCAGCAGCTCCGAGCCTTTTCATCCGCGAAGTTTCCGTTTCTGCCGGGCTTCGGAGCACTGACCCTGGGAGCGGTTTCTTGAGAATTACGGGCTGTTGGGGTTAGGGTTTGGGGTTTGGGGAGAGTGGAGTTCCACTTCCTGCGATGCGCGCCGCAGCTGTGAAAGCTTTTGGATCTCGAGCCGACCGCGCACGAACCTGAGCTTTCATTTGTGGCAGCCTTTTGCTGTGCTCCGCGATGGATGTCCCCAAAGGCTATGCGCCGGTCGTCGCCTTTGGCTTCTGTCCACCCTCAGGGATTTTCTTCCAGCTTGCCATGTACTTTTTCGAGCCTGGGCCATACTGTCAGGGTTTTCCCTTTCATGGTGGGGGTCTTGCTGTTTACAAGGGGTCTCGGGGTCTGCTGGCTGGCTAGGACATCGTGAACGACCTGGTTCAAGTCAGCACTTTTCTGCTGCACGGAGATTGGTGGTTTGCAGTATTCATGAGCTTCTTCATCCTCCTAAGCTTGGCGCTGGCCGTCCCGGAGATGTCGGAGCAGAGCAAGCTGAAGCGCTTCGACCCGCTGGGCGAGGCCCGGCTCTCCTTGGCCCGGGGGGTGCCGACCGTGGCTTGGGAGGTGATGCTTGCTTGTGAGTGGAGCATCGAAGCGCCTGCCACCGGGCTCATCGGGCCCTACGGCGCAACGTTGCTCCAGCTGACGCCGCTGCAGGCAGCCAGCTGCCTCTATGGGTTGGTGAGCTCCGCAAAGGGCATGGCCGAGGGCAGACTGGGTGCAGAGGCGGGCTGTTGCCGAACAGATTAACAGGCTGCATCGTAGGACCGTCTCGCAATGCAAGTCTCAGTCGCACAAACACTACAAGAACGCAGACGGGAAGCCTCTAGACACATGCAGGTTGTGTGTAGCATGCGTAGCAGATGCCGAGGGCAAGTCTCAAGACTCTTGGCAGGTGTCGACCGGCACTGACCGTGCAGAGGCGCATGCGTTGAAAGCTGTTCGCCCTTCAAAGGCAGCGGCATTCTTTGCCTGGTACTTGGGCGCATTTGTGGCGGAGCTGGCTGGCTTCGCCGTGGCGAGTGCGACATTGCACCCCATCATCACCGTACCAGGGTTCCTCCTAGGTGCAGTGGCGAACGGCGCATCTGCCAGGTGTGGTGGATCGCAGGACTTTTCAGATGCCGCGAGAAATTCTTGCTTCTTGGTTGGTATTGCGATGGCAGGCCTCCAGACAAAAAGCTTTCTCAAGAACACAGCAGCGATAACTGGAGGAATGGGCCCCGGGTATATTCCAGCGCTCGTTATTCTCATCCGCTTCATCACCTGGGCGGCCCTCTGCTTCCTCGATCTTCCGCAGGGCCTTCTTCCGCTGGGCTCGCTGGGGCGCCCCATGGGTTTGCCGGTGCTCCGCGAAAAATTCTTGGAGCCGGCTGTCGCTTGCCGGGAGGCCTTGGCGTGTTTCACGTCCCACTTCTGGATATCCGTCGAACCGGAGGCCAATGCGACCTCCATATCTCTGACCGAAGAGGTGGGGTTTGGCGACTGCGCCTGGCCGACAACCGGCGAGCTGAGCAGTGCATCCACCATCTTCAACGCCTGCTTGTTGCTCTTCGCCGTGGTTCTTGTTCCTGTGCACATGTGCATCGTGGTTGGGATGTTGCTGTTCAATCCAATTTACGCCTGTGGAGCCGACAACCTCAGCCTCAAGGAGGAGGTCGAGGCGAAGCAGCGCGAAATCGACGACTTCGCCAAGCGGAACGAGCAAGCAGGCGGCCAGCATGAGCAGCTGAGCCTTCTTCCGGGTTAGATCCGGCAAAGCCCCGATCCGCACAGGACTGTCCGAAGCTGCTCGGAGACTAAAGGCATTGCTGAGGTTGGTAACTTCTCGCCCGGCTAATTGATGAAGATGCATCCTTACTTGGAGGTTCAGGGGTAGTTGTAAGTGGGTTATAAGTCGCCTTAGATGCGCTACAAGTTGTTACAAGTATAGCTGCCCTACTTAGGTTACCAGGTTACAAATCCAAGCACTACTGTACAAGGAGCTTTTAAAGTTTTTTGCGGAAAGCCACTTGCAGCCCTTCCGACATCTTGCAGACCGTTCTGACACCTGCAGCTTTGAACCACAAGCCCTGGCTGTAAGGCTCACACCCTGAATCAGGGGACCGGTAACCCTAAACCCCAAACCTTAAACCCTAAACCCTAAACCCCAAACCTGAAACCCTAAACCCTAAACCCCAAACCTGAAACCCTAAACCCTAAACCCCGGCTGGGATCCTCTTTTTCTCCGTGACAGATCCTGGCCCTCACGCGCTCGATCACCGGCTTTGGCCGCTCCTCGCGCTGGCAGGAGGCGCCTTCGCCTGCTCTGAGGGTTTAAGAAAGAGGATTTAAGGTTTAGGATTTAGGGTTTAGGATTTAAGGTTTAGGGTTTAGGACTAGGATTCAGTGTTTGGGTTTAGGATTCAGGGTTTATATAGGGGCATCAATAAGTACCAACACTAAAGTGGGGTTTCCTCATTATGAGCATAGAAAAATAATCATGGTACCGAACACCCATTCTGATTATTAAGGCTCCTACAGTGTTACTTTTGCGCTTTGGGATGGCCTGCCATTAAGGATGTTTGCGGTGGGAGTGCGATCGAATCTGCAAGTCTTTTCTATCTGAGGAATCGCCATCGGCAGCATGTTTCCCGACCGCGACATATTCAAGCCTTCTAGCTTGTGACTACTTGCAGGTTCAGGGGTAGTTATAAGTGGGGTTAAAAGTTGCCTAATATGGGTGATAAGTATAGTTACCCTACTTACAATCCTACTTTTAGCTACCCTAAACCCTAAACCTTACAGAACCCTTAAAGGAACCCTATAGACCCCTTATAACCCTACTTAGAACTACCCCTGAACCTCCAAGTAAAGGATCCAGATTCGAGATTTTGGTCCAGGCATCGCCCAAGGCAGAGAGTTCCTCTGAGCCCTTTGTTCGGGTTGCGAGTTTGAGAGGATCACGTTTGGGACTGCACTTTACTTCGAGGTTCATGGGCAGTTATAAGCTACCCCTGAACCTCCAAGTATGGTTTTGCCCAAACCTTGGACCGGATCCGACATCGGAAAATCATCGCTGTCGAGGGCTGCAGTGGTCGGGGTTTTGGGGTCGCCGATGTTTCGAGGGAGAAGGCCCCTAACCCGAACCTGCGATATCCTTCAATGATGTAGTTGGGAAGACTTCAGCCTGTCGCGACTCCCTTCAAATCCTCAAGCATAGCTAAGCTTCGCCTACATAAATCCTAAGCCCTCGGCCCAAAAAAAGCTGACATCCGCATCGCAGCCCCAACCTTTTTGCCGTAAATTCAAAGCCGAGCAGAGGCGCTGCAGAAGTTTGCGGAGTTCAGGCAACAAAGCCTTCAGAGTCTTGGCCGAATTAGCTTCAGAGTTCATCGGCACATTTCGGGGTTCAGGGGCTGACATGTGTTTCTCCTTTCCTGTCTGGTTGGTTTTTGGGTTTCACATGCCTCTGAAGCTCTTCAGATTCTTGCAGTCGTATTGAATGCAAGGTTTTGCAAAGCCAAAACGGTCTCGAAGCGGGAATCCTTCAGCGGTTTCAGGGGTTCCGGGCTCGACAATCGCAACGCTTAGACCTCAAGGAAACTCGGAGTTCAGGATACCATGAGAGTGAAGAGCTTCGCCATGCGCAGGCAGCATGGTGCAGTGCAGTGGTCCCTTTCGAGGCCTCCAGCTACTTCAGAACGGAAAGGCCCCCAAACCCTAAACCCTAAACCCCGTAAACCCCCTAAGCCCTAAACCCCCTAAGCCCTAAGCCCCCGCATTCGGCTCTTTGAGGTGCGACGACGTGGCCCTGAACGCCGCCCTGAGCGCTTGCAGCAAGGTGAGACCCCGAAGCCTGGGGGAGCCTCTCCGTGTACTGTAGGGGCCTTAATAATTGGACGAATAGGGTTTTCTTGGGTATATTATACTAGAATCATAAAAAAGCAACCCCCCAAACCCTATTAAAAGTTGTTAGAATCATAAAAAAGGAACCCGCAAAGCCCTGTTCTAATCGTCAGGGCCCCTACATCACAGTAAGATTCTACGGCTCAGCTCCAATCCAAGGGTAAAAGGAGGGACCCTTCACAAGAACCCCTAAGTATATACCCTTAATATAGCTATTATATACCCATTATACAGCCCATTAAAGGGTAGGGGTCCCCATTAAGGGTCCCTCCTTTTCCCCTTTGATCCAAACTTCGGGAGAGCGAAGGTCTTTTTGGGTTTACTGCCCCAGGGCGCAGCTTGGCTCCGAGCGCTGCTTCTTTTTGAAGAGGCCCGCTAGGTGAGAGTTTCCGAAAATTAGGGGTATCTTAGTAGTTAGAGTAGGGTTCCTTTAAGGGATCTATAAGGGTTCTATTTAGGGTTTAGAGTTTCCGAAAATAGGGGTACCTCATTCTGGGGTCCTTATAATAAGGATCCCTACCATTTAGGGTACTATATTAGGGTGACCCATTTTCGGAAACTCCAAGGTTTCAAGCACTGCTCGAAGAGGGGAAGCTTGGGAGTCGCATGGTTTTTGGTGTTCGGTGTCTGTGTGGGCTTGTCTGTTCAGTGGACGGCGAAAGGCTCAAGACGCAGCATTTCGGTTACGATTTTGGTTTGGAAACGGTGCGTGCGAGAGTTCGCACAATTTTTTTGCGGAGCTTAGCAAGACTTGAGCGGACTTTCAGACTCTTGGGATTTCAGTGCTGATGCGGAGTGATGCGGAAGCTTCGGACTCTTGTGCATACAGGTTGGGGCTTCTGGATCTTTGCTGCCTTCGGAGAGTCGGGGGTGTAGATCAACACCATGGAATGGTTTTTCGAGCTCTACAGTATTACAACCGGCAGAGCTCGAAAAGACCTTCGCGGTCGCAAGCCGGCAGATCTCAACCGCTCTCCGAAGGCGATAACAATCCCTCGTAGCTTCTACCGGGATGCATGAATCGCGCCACATCAACACCCAAATCCCCAAAACCTGAGTGGCCGCTCAACTCCCACTCAGCTCTATGCTAGTCATGCTTCGGCGAAGCGGCAAGAGACCTCCGCCAAGCTTTGTGGAACGCACAGAATCCTGAACCGCAAGCCGGAGATCCCCCCAATTTGAAATGGGAGTTTCCGAAAATTAGGGGGGTACTTATAACAGGGATGCTACTAATTTAGGGCACCCACAAAGGGGGACCCTAATCTTGACAACCACCCAAATGTAGAAGCCGTCACCAGCTCGTCTTCCAACTCCAAGACCCTGGAGCCGCATTCATCCCTCAACGCCTAGACCCCCAAGGAGCCCTGTACCGCGAAACCCACAACCCTCGAAAAGCCCTTTAACGACCCGGACCCTGAACCCCAAACCCAACCCTAAACCCTAAACCGTAAACCCTAAACCCTAAACCCTAAACCCCAAACCCAGCACCCTCTAACAAGGCCCAAGCCCACGAGGGCTGTAGCTCTCTGCACTCGGAGCCCCGAGGCCCGAACGGAACATCTTCCGCCCACAGACGTGACCCACAACACGGTGCTCGGTGCTTTGGAGCCTTCGGCAGGAGTTTGTAGAGCAACGGATGATACCTGAAGAGTACCGACTCTTCTCTGGATGTTTTAGCCTGTCGTTAAAAGCTAAAGGGGGTCATAGCCTACGGTTCTTGATAGGTTTGGCACAGCAGGTAGTATAGGTGCTCTTTTGTGTGCTGTTTAGCGGTTTTCCTTTTTGTCAGACCTTTGTGCAGTATGTTCTTCCAGTTTTGCAGGAGCAGGTCATGAGACTTGTCTTTTGGCTATAGAGACCATCCGGGCATGTTTCGCGGGACAAGGGACAGGCACGACATTCCTTGTTTAGACTTGCTGCGAACTCCATGAGCCCTTTCCGAAGCCCTCACATGAATTCAGGATGAGCTTCGGTCAAACCTGCAGCAAAAAAAGCGAGTCAGGAAGAGTCGTAAACATATTTATGACTACTTTAACATTCCGGCTGCTAATCCTGAAGCCCTCGCTGCCACAACCTAAGCCCTGAATCCTTAAACCCTTAACTGGATAAACCCCAAACCCTTAAATCCCTAAACCCTAAACCCTTAAACTCCCTAAACCCCCAAACCCTTCACGCCCGCAGAAGCTCAGGAGAAAGGCGCTGGATGGCCCGAGGTCCTCAGCCTGCGGCTTCGGCGGAAGTTAGCTTCGCTGGTTCGGAATTGAAAGACGATCTCCAGGGGCGTACGAGCCCTCATCGTGCCTAACCGCTGTATCGATGCATGTATGTATATATATATATATATATATATATATATATAAAGGTATGGGTATATATGTGTATATACATATGTATATAGATATAGATGTAGATATAGATATAGATAGATGTCATGAGCCTATCACAGCTTGCACAAAAGAGCCTAAGCCGAAGCCGAACCAGCCCCAGGTTGGGTTCCCTGGTGCTGGCCGCGCTCCGGCCGGACGCCTTCTCCCGCAGCGCCGTCATCAACGGCTTCGAGAAGGCCGAAGTCCCTGAACCGGTCAGAACCAGTCTGTCCCTAAACGTCCTAATCCAAAAAAACCGCGGTCCCCTTAACCCTGCAGTAGCCCCAAGTCCCCCAACAAAAAGGAATCGAAGAAAGGCTCCCAAAAAAAGCACCAGCGGCGAGGCCGGGCAGTGGTCAAAGGCGAGGCAGCTCTTGGCAGCAGGCCTCACGCTGGGCGCGGCCGTGGCCTTGGTGCCGTGCGCCCTGGCGGGAAGTTGGTTTAGGATTTAATTTACAAGGGTTTAGGGTTTAGGGGATTTAGGGATTTAGGGGTTTGGGGGTTTAATGGATTTAGGGTTTAGGTGTTCAAGGGGTTTAGGGTTTAGGGGTTTAGAGGGTTTAGGGGTTTAACGGATTTCGATTTTAGGGTTTAGTGGTTTAAGGGATTTAGGGTTTAGGGCTTCGGGTTTTAGGGGATGTATAAGGGTTTAGGATTTAAGGTTTAGGGATTTAGGGTTTAGGATTTAAGGTTCAGGGGTTTAGGGTTTAGGATTTAAAGTTTAGGGGTTTGGGGTTGGGGGGTTTAAGGGGTTTAAGGGATTTAGGGTTTAGGGGTGTGAGGTTGAGGGTCTGGGGTTTGCCGCCGACCGGAGTTTTGAACCCCTCAGACCCCCCCCAAGACTTGAGTCCCTGAACACTAACATGAACTTTACAAGCCTAAGTCAAAACCCTTACTCCTTAAGCCCACCACCCTCTAATCTTGAAGCTTGAAAAAGTACCAATATTGCGCCTTATGGCTCCTTTTTGCAGTGTTTGCATCTACTTTTACTTGTCCCCTTCTTGAAGCCCTTTGGGAGCAGAGCTCGAGGCAATGGCGCTCTGAGTGCCTGCGCCCGGGCAGCCTACTGGGAGGAGGCGGGCCTACACTTGCCCGGCTTTGTGGGCTTCCTTCATCTTAGGGGTACTTAGAAACATTTTTTACATTTTTGGTTCCAACAATCCCTAAGACACAGGGCCGAAGTTCAGTATAGTCATCTTTCAGCCTAGGAGCCTGTAGAAGGCTTTTGGGAGGCATCTTTCATTGTGGGCTCCCGCTAGGTTGCCCTAAGGGCGACTGCAAGGTCTGCCATTTACGATGAGGGTAAGAGGATCCGCTTTGGCATCGCTCAGGTTCAATCCAAGCCGCGAAGGGGCTAGGGATATCCACACCTCCTTCGGCTTCATTATAAGGGGGTTTACATGGAATATCCCTATCTTCACTCTTGCGTCTGAATGTGCTTTTTTGTGGAATAGTGGTTTTGTGTCTAAAGCAAAGCGGTTGCCGGGCACCACCGTGGGCCATGAGCCGGCAACCCGATTCTTCGAGCTGGAAGCGAGCTGAAGCCATCATGCAGACAACACACACATGCTCATTCGGTTTAGGGTTTAGGATGATGGTTCTAAACTCTAAAGCCCAAGCCCTGAACATAAATTCCTGGGATTTGGGGCTTTTGCCGCAGAGGCTGTGGGCTTCGTCGAGGCCGCGCCGCAGCCGGACGTGATCTCCTGGAACGCACTGTGAGCCGGCGGATGAAGCCTTTGGAGACCGGTGGGTGTAGCAGTTTGGGGTTCTGGGTTTAGTTTAGGGTTTAGGGTTTAGGGTTTTGGGTTTAGTAAGCTTTGCTTGAGCTTATGGTTGTTGGGATGTGTTTTGATTTTTTTGGAGATGGCAGGGGCTTGCAGCGCTTCAGGTCCGACTACTAGACCCTAAACCCTGAACCCTAAGCCTTGTCAAAGGGAGTAAACGAGACCTCCCAAAATCCCTAAACCCTTAACCCACAAACCCGAGAACCCAAACCACCAAAAATAGACCCTAAACCCTAAACTTAAAATCCTAAACCCTCGTAAACCCTCATAAACCCCTTAAATCCCGAAACCGCCGAAAATCCCAGGCTCACCGCAAGCGCCCGTGCCGAGCTTTGGCTCAAAGCTTCGGCTCCTGGGCTCTGTTTTATGGGTGGCACATTTTTGGTTTGTGTTTTCTGGGGGTTAGGGGCTTTGGGTTTTGGGTTTAGGGGTTTAGGGGTTTCGGGGTTCAGGGGTTAGGGGTTTAGGGGCGCAGGGTTTAGGGGTTTAGGGTTCAGGGAGTTTAGGGGTTTAGAGTTTGGGAGTTTAGGGTTGAGGGGGTTTTGGGATTTAGGGAGTTTAGGGTTTGAGGTCTTGCAAGAACAAGGTGGTTGAGGTTAAGATCGTCAGCTGTCGAGATTGCCCATGGTTGGATTTGGGGTGGACAGTTGGGGCTTGAGGGTGCGAGGGTTTAACGTCTGGCAGTCTAGGGGTGTAGGGGTTGTAGGGCGTAGGATTCAGGGTTTGAAGGTTTTAGGCTCGGAGTTCTGGGATCGAAGTGTAGACGTCTGTGCCGGCTTCTATGTTCTGTGAGATGTACGGGGTTTGGGAGATAAAGGTGTGTAAGCACAGGGTGAGGGTTGTGGCACACTAGGTTCCAACAACATTGATAGGGGAGTTTCCGAAAATAGGGGACCCTAATATAGTACCCTAAATAATAGGATCCTTATTATAAGGACCCCAAAACAAGGTACCCCTAATTTTCGGAAACTCCCATATTGCAAACTTCTTGCAAGCCGGGTTCCAAAGCATGACCCCTCCCGAAACGCTCAGGGCCTTTCGGCGTTTTCAGGCTCTATTAGGGCTTTCAGACGGCCTGCAGCAATTTCAAAACCTCGGACCTTAAGCTGTAACTTCTAAGTGAACCTGAGAGATATGGCCGCGACCAGGCCATTTTGGCGCACGTCACTGCTATTCGTGTTCCGGCCACCGCAGTGAGCCACAATGCAGCCATGTCTGCATCACAGCGGCCCTTCTGCCGAACCAGCAACGACGAAAGTGGGCACTAAGGGATCTTGGAGTTCGGGTTTTGGGGTGATCGCGAAGTCGTTTCCCATGTGGACCTGCGTTTTCAGGCACGGATGCTGAACCCCAAGTGCCGAAGCCATGCGAGGTCAGGAAGCTGGCAGCTCGCAGTGCAGCAGGCAGCCGATTCTACTTGGAGGTTCATGGGTAGTTATAGGTAGGGTTGTAAGTAGGGTAACTGTACTTGTAATTCTTATAACCCATATTAGGGGACTTATCAGCCTACTTATGACTACCCCTGAACCTCCAAGTAAGGTTTTGGGTTTTGGGCTTTCTTTAGCACAGTGGTTCCCGGACTGAAGACCGGTCGAGATGGTATCAGGCACCGAAGGAGACTTCCGAGCTTGCGAGAAAAACATGGCTGCCTCATAAATAGATGTGGAGTGATGTGCCCCAAACCACCTTCGAGATCGAAATCGAAGAATGGGACCCAAAACAGCATCCCGATTAAAACGCACACCCATGTAGATCCTCTGAACTTCTAAGCCGCACAGTTGATGGCCTTCCAGCGCACAGCGCTGCAGCGGAGCGAGGCACGCACCCGGAGAGGGTTTGGTCTTGGAGCTTAGGAAACCCTGAGGCCCTAAGGCCTTCACCCTGAGCTTCTGACAGTTTCAACCCCCGAGGCCTCTTCATCACTCCAGACACAACGAGAAGGACTCCCATCAAGATCGAGAGGCTTCAGAACCCAGAGAGAGACGATATCAGAACTGCTAAGAGATCCGAAGAACCCTGCGGGAGCTCGGGGATCGGGTGGCCAGTTTCTCTGTAGGGTTTTGCTGAGGCGGCAGCCCCAAATGGTCCTGTGGAATACCCAAACCGGAAAGCTTATAGCTTGAACTTCAGCTGCAAAGCCTGCTAGTTCTCATACAGCATAGGTTTTGCGATGTCATGGCGGTGCCCAAAACCCTGAAACCCTAAAACTAAGCTGCAATGGTTGGAGGTGTCATATGGGTCATCCATCAGCGCCTGCCGCCCTCCCGGCCAATGGTAGCTCACTCCGCATACCGACGGCTTTTCAGAGTTGGCTGTCCCTTGAAGCCGTTGTGCGCTGTTGGGGAGAGATTGTGACGAACGATGCATACTCCGTAGCTCAATGGAAAGGTCACAGGCTTACGGAGCTTCCGGCTTCATCAGGGATGAAGTTTTCGGCTCCGAGACCCTAAAACCTAAAACCCCAAGCCCCAGCGAATCCAAGGCAAGAGGCCTGGCTGCTCCTGAGCACCGCAGCCGCCGCAGCCCTGCGCTCGTCCGCCGTGCTGGGTGCCCCGGGGTTTGGGCTTTGGTTGAAGAGGGACGCCTCCCTGGGTTTCTGGGCCCTTTCCCTACTATACTATACTATGCTACTTTTTACCAGGGATTGAGGTTTGATGGGCATATCACACGGAGCATGTAACCTCAGCTTTTATGCCGAAAGAGCTCATGAGCTGAGAGGTTCTCCGATCTTGAAGCTGGTGGGTCATACTTGGCCCTGTCCCGACAGCGGTACCCTACAAGAAAATGCGCGTTCAACTCGAGGCAATGCTGCCATCTCCTGCTGCGACGGCGCGGGATGCTGGTCTGAGGCGTGGCAGATGGCACCCGGCTTTGGGACTCAAAGGGATTCAGTATAACCACTTTAGCTACAGCATCACCATAAGAAAACTACAAGATAGCCATAGACTTGAATTTTTTTGCCGGTTAGGGCTCCAGGTTTGGCGGTTCTTGGGCCCAGCGGGGCTTCGGAGCTTTGACTACTTTATGGTCGGGGATAGGCTGCAGTGCCTTCTTGCTTCGAGGGTCTTTGGCACGGTGTGCCGTGTTCAAGGCATGACACTGTCCGGCATTCACCATGCTACCTAGTAGGCTGCCAGATTTGGAACCCCTGCGGAACCACTATTTCACGACCCGCAAGCCTTAAGCCTAAGCTTTCGAGTCCAAAGGCCCCGGGGGGGGGCGGGGCTCGAATGCTGGGGGTACACCTCAGAGGTTGTTGCCGTGTCTAGACGAAGGGGCACCCATGGGCACCCCAACGAGGCCGCCGCGCTGCTGCACACGCTTCGCGATTGGCAGGCGGGCTTCAGAACATTTCTCCGGTAAGCTATCGCATTCTTGTTGCTGCGTTCTGCAGCATTGAGGGTGAGGCTTTTAGTTAGACTTCGAACTGCAAGCTCTACTTTCTCCAGATCCCGAAGCCTGCTCCGAAACCGACGCCCCCAATCGGAAGCCTTGGGCTTGGGTGTCAGGATTCTGGAGAGTCGCACCGTCGTCGCTAAATCCTAAACCCCTTACTGTAAACCCTAAACCCCAAAAGCTCTAAACTCTAAACTCTTAGCCCCCAAGCCCACTTTGGCAAGGTAGAGGCCGACTCCGTTTCCTTCAACGCTTTGGCGAGTGCATGCCGGCTTGTGGGGGCCTGGCAGTGCCTGGTCTGATATGCAAGGCTTTGGATCTCCATGCTAGAGCATGGTTCAGTGTAGTTCAGGCTAAGAGGCGCATAGAAGAAGGCCAGTTCGTGCCCTTCCAAACTCCACGCCGGACCTTGCGCTGCAAAGCCAGGATCTCACTGCACTTCTGCCCTTCCGGGATGCTCGCCGGGCCGGATGCCGCTGCCTGCGGCGCTGCCGTGGGCGACGTCCGGCTCGGAACAGACAGAGGGCTTCGATGGGCTTTCGTGGGGCGAAGGGGGTGTCACGGTTCTGTCCGGGCCATTAAACCCAAATCCTGAAACCCTGAAAAGCCCTAAGTTCCTTCCTTTTCGGCTGGAAAAATTCTCTCAGCCACTCAGCCTTCCCTGCTCCAAAGGCCTTGACATCCCCTCAACTATAGTCTCCTTAGGAATTATTGTATATTTTCGTTCCTATATAAAACAAAAGAAAATCTTAAACACAGGATTTGTATCATGGTTCGTGTTTTATTATGTTTTGATTGCGGTTCTAAGGGGTGTATAGTCAAGAAAACCTCGAACGACGCCAAGTCCTGCGGGGCTTCCTCGCACTGGCGCTCCGCAGCAGAGCTGCTCAGGACGCGGGTCTTCAAGGTTCAGGGCATAAGGGGTTTAGGGTTTTGGGTTTAGGGTTTAGGGTTTAGGGTATGGCGGCCTTCAAGGGTTTTGGGTTGCGGTGATTTCCCTGTACCCTAAGCCCTAAACCCGAAACTCCTTCCTAAACCCACGCATCCTCTTAGACTCGAACCTCTACAGAGCATCATGAGCCCGAACCTCCAAAGCCCCAGCCTACCCAACAGCCTACCCAAAACCCCAAACTCCAAACCCCAAGCCCCGACCTCCCGAAGCCAAAAACCCAAAACCCTAAACTCCAAATCCTAAGCCCTTGCTTTCTTAAAAAAGATCCTAAACCCTAAACCCTAAGCCCTATATAGTTTTCTTTAATCCTAAACCGCAAACCCTGAGCTCTAAACCCCAAAACCCCAAAACTCGAAAGCCGAAGCCCCACCCTCCCTGAGCTGCCAAAGCAGAGGAGTGCTCGATCTCTCCGCGCACTCAGCGGGCCGCCTGGACTCTTCTGGCCAGAGGTTTGTACGGTTGATGACCTAAATCCTGCATTGCCCGTAATAAGGAATATACCATATTTCCCATACTTTAGGGTACCTAAGGTAATGCAGGATTTATATCATCAACCGTAGGATCTGGATGAAGGGGTGAAGGGATCAAGGGCTTCAGGGATCAAGGGATCAAGGCATTGTCGGATGAAGGGATGAAGGGATGAAGGGAGTAAGGGCTCAGGGTTTAGGGGTTTAGAGTTTAGGGGGGTTTGGTTTCGGGCAGTTGTTGAGAAGTTGGGAGAGTTCGAATTTCGGGTTTCTGGACCCCATGCCACGTGTTGCCCGTGCATGCTCGTGCCAAAATCACTGCATCGAAAGATCACCTCGTCCTTTGAAATCCTGCATCGCATCGTAAGCGGAAGCACCAAAGCTCTGGTTACCTTTTCGCTTCGACCTTGCTAGGAGGTTCACGGGTAGCTATAAGTGATATTAGGGGACTTATCACTGTACTTGTTACTACCAACGAACCTCCAAGTGAAACTTCCGAGTGGCATTCCCAGGATCTTGCTCGTCTCGGGTCTCTCCGCGAGCGAAGCAGCAGCAAGGTCAGAGACTCTGTAGAGATTTCCCTCCGGGCGTCGTAAACATGATGACTCTTTGGGAGGGAGTTTGGATGTTGTAGGGTGGGGGGTTCCCTTGCATTAGTGCGCGAATTCAAGCATTTCGGAGGAGGTTCAGGCCAGGCGTTCGGGGTCACCTGCGCCACCCTGCCCGCGCTCCATCCCCATCCTGTCGCCAGACAGCTAGCCCTTTTCATTTTAGGGGCCCCTTATTAAAAACGAATCTGTAGTAGGAAAAAGGATACCCGTATTAAAAAAAGGGCTACAGGCAGCCGAAGAAAGACTGGACAAGCCCAAGGCGCGAGACTAGAACCAAGCTGGCAGTCGGCAGGGCGCTCTGAAAGTTCCATCAGAGCACCAAAATGCCGATCATGGCGGGCCACAGTTGTTTGCCTAGCCTGCTAGGTTTGGGTATTAGGGTTTAGGGTTTTGGGGTTTAGGGTTTAGGGTTTAGGGTTTAGGGTTTGGGGTTTAGGGTTTGGGTATTAGGGTTTAGGGTTTTGGGGGTTAGGTAGTCAGCCCGTCGCAGCTAAGAAACGCTACTACGCTTCTGAGTCCTGCACCCAAGACCTTGAAGATTCGACAGCTTGTTCCCACAAGGGACGCACCCATCGGCCCTTAATTAAGAATACATAAGCCTAAAGACTAACATGGGTGCTTTTCTCTATCCCTGCACCTTGAATCCTAAGCTCTCATCCTGCCTTCTAGAGCACTAAGAAGTCTATGACGGGAAGGTGGGAGGATGCCCTGCGCCTGCTACAGGCCCGGGATGTGGGCCTGAATTGGAAGCTTTCGTGGCTTTGCTGTTGACTCAGACAGTACCCTAAGGCCCCAAAGTAGTTCCTTGTTGGGGTTCGTATATAGAATCCTATAAGGTAATCCCCCAAAGGAACTACTTTGGGGCCTTAGGGTATTCCTTGCAGCCCCACGCCGCAAACGCTGCACCGAAGCCCAAAGGAGCGAAAAGCTGAATCTCTCCCCACATAAGCCCTAAACTATAAACTTTAAACTATTACTATTATTATTATTGTTATTATTCTTGTTATTATTACTATTATTATCATTACTACTATTATTACTATTACTACCCAAGCGCTGAGTGCCGACCTTGTTCGAGGAGTCCGCTCAGAAAGCTTCCGAGCTCCCGCTGGCAGCCCGAAATGCTCTCATCGGTGCGCCCGGGGGGTGTTCTTTGTGATAAGGGGCTGTCCTTCAAGTCCTTATGAGGATTGTGTCAGGTTTCTATCAGGGTTCTAGAGGTTCCCACGACGTCGTGCGGCGCCACGGAACACCAAGTGAGTTCTACATTTTTGAAGCTCGCTCGACCAGCTTTGAGAGTGGTTTTCCAGAGGGCGAAATACCTTGTTGAAGGGTTCTGGATGTCCCCCAATACAACGCTTGCAAGTGAAGAAATTTCCAAATCGTGTCATCTTGAATCGTGCTCCGTCGTGCCATCCATTCGGTTGTCTTGACTGCCACAGTTCCAATGGTTGTCTGTTTGGTGGGACCGGGGCATGAGACAGCGCAGTGGCTCGCTGATGCTATGATGCTCACCGTGGCGTGGTACTGGATCCAGGTGATGCTTACGATGCCTGTCGTGGTCGGGGCACTGGACAGCGAAATGGCCAGCTGATGCTTATGATGCTTGTGGTGTCCGGCGTACTGGACAGAGCTGTGATGCTCATGATGGTCGTGGTGGCCGGGGGACCGGGCAGAAGCATGGCCAGTGCAATGGCAAGCTGATGCTGATGATGCTTGCCGAATCTTGACGTGGCCGCAGCATGGGAAAGCGCAGTGGCCAGCTGACGCTGATGATGCTCGCCGTGGCCAGGGTACAGGACAGAACCATGGGCGGCTTTTGCTGATGATGCTGGCCGCGGCCGGTGTACAGGACAGAACCATGTGCCACTGATGCTCATGCTGCTCGCCGTGGCCATTGTACAGGACAGAACCATGGGCGGCTTTTGCTGATGATGCTGGCCGCGGCCGGTGTACAGGACAGAACCATGTGCCACTGATGCTCATGCTGCTCGCCGTGGCCATTGTACAGGACAGAACCATGGGCGGCTTTTGCTGATGATGCTGGCCGCGGCCGGTGTACAGGACAGAACCATGTGCCACTGATGCTCATGCTGCTCGCCGTGGCCATTGTACAGGACAGAACCATGGGCGGCTTTTGCTGATGATGCTGGCCGCGGCCGGTGTACAGGACAGAACCATGTGCCACTGATGCTCATGCTGCTCGCCGTGGCCATTGTACAGGACAGAACCATGGGCGGCTTTTGCTGATGATGCTGGCCGCGGCCGGTGTACAGGACAGAACCATGTGCCACTGATGCTCATGCTGCTTGCCATGGCTGGGGTAGGGCACAGAACCCAGGGCAGCTGATGCTGATGATGCTAGCCGTGGCTGGTGTACGGAACAGAACCATGCGCAGCTGATGCTCATGCTGCTTGCCATGGCCGGGGTGCTGGACAGAACCATGGGCAGCTGATGCTCATGCTGCTTGCCATGGCCGGGGTGCTGGACAGAACCATGGGCAGCTGATGCGCATGATGCTTGCCGTGGCCGGGGTACTGGACAGAGCCATGGGGCAGCTGATGCGCATGATGCTTGCCGTGGCCGGGGTACTGGACAGAGCCATGGGGCAGCTGATGCGCATGATGCTTGCTGTGGCCGGCTACTAGACAGAACCATGGCGCAGCTGATGAGCGTGATGCTTGCCGTGGCCAGGGTTCTGGACGGAGCCATGGGGCGGCTGACACTATGATGCTCATGGAACTCCGAACCAGAGCTGGTGCGCACAGGTACACAGCAAATTCCAAATCCCAACTCCCAAGCCGCAAACCTGGAGGTGCCTGCGGCCGTGGAGGGCGCTGGCGGGCGGCACTTCACCACCTAAAAGAGGCTTCAAAGCTGGTTAGGATTTAGGGTTGCTGGGTTGTGCTGAGTGTATAAGATGCTTGACAGGGAGTGTTCTGAGAGTCTGCAAATGCGAGCGGCCACGGATCACGGGCATCAAAGTCTTCGTTTTCGTGCATGGTGTGCTGTACTTCAGGGCTTCCTGGACGTTTGTTGGACTGCTCCTGCCGTCTTCGATCGATCTTCCTAAACCCGTTGGGTTCGGTTGAGAGGGTTGTGGGTAGTGGAGGCCAGCCAAAGTTCAGAGTTCCGAATTCAGGATTTGGGTGAAGGCGAGGGGTTGGGGTTTGGAGTCTTGCATGCTCTTGTCTTTTGCCAGGTGATAGCTTGTTTGCTTCTGGGGTATTTGCATCCTTCTCCGGGAATCATCGATGACCCTCGAGCCCCGTCCAGAGCTGAAATCGGAGGCCCTGAAGCATCGAATCCTAGGCTGTAGACTGCAGTATATTCCTGTATCCTCGGCTTTACACAGAGAATCCAGCTTTCCAAAAAGGTGGCATCCGACAGATTGGTGCCGGACGCGATCTCGTACAATGCAGCAGCTGGGTGAGGAAACCGCTGTAGACAGCAGAGGGTAGAGGGGAGTGAGGGTTCGGGGTTTCGGGTTTCAAGGTTTAGGTTTTCAAGGTTTAGGATGGCTTTGAGGGTTTGTAATTTGTGTCCTCGGGAACTAAGCGGGTTTTCTTGAAGGGTCTCAGGGGTTCGTTTCGTTCATAGTAAGGCTTCGTCTTTGCAAGACTGATGCTACGTCTTCTTTCGATGGTAGGAGGCAGGGTTTGGTGTCAGCAGCCGGAAACCCCCATGACCTTGCGCTGTTCGGGCTCTGGCTTCGGTATGTTTCAATCCTGTTCCTGCCTGGAGCGCGGAAGTCGCAACCCGCAAAACTCCACACCCAGAGACTCCAATACCCCTTAATTGGGGAATATACCTTAAATCATATCAGGGATCCTACTATTTCCCCAAACAGGTACGGTTTGGGGTTCTCTCCTCAGAAAGAAGGTGGGCCGCGTGGGTGGATGGGTGGGCAGC